GGGGGGGGGGGGCAGCCGCCAAACCTCGAACTTAAAACTTACACTGACTATTTTCTTCGAAAATATATGTGAGTTCCACAAAAATTAATAATTATCTTTTTTTTGTTCAATTTCGTTGGCTATTTGTTATAAGTAAAAAAAATGCATTTTTTATATTCAATAAAATTCTTCTTTTTTGTGACGTTTAACATAATCTTTTTCGAGATAGGAGACAGACCTTTTTTGATTATATTATATTAGAAATATTTAAAAAGTTTCTGAACGTATTCATCGATATTTTATCTATTTGAATTCAAAATATTACTTACGCTTTAATGTAAAAAGTTACAATGGCATTAAAAACTGAATATTATCTGCTAATTCAATAAATCTTCTATTTCACTTCAAATATATAAATATAACTAAACAAGAACCACTACGAATTGCGATGATTAATAATCATTATTTAAAAGGATCTAAAGTTTTTTATTTTACTACTAATAATAGGAAAAAAATTTGAAATAGTTTATCGTTGACGAGTTTAATTATTAACAATCACTATTTCTTAGTACAGCATATTCTTATTTCAATGTACTAAAAGGTAAATGGAAAAGTTTATCTGATGCACTGTATCTGTATGGGTTGATTTTAACAGTATTTTTCGAACGATTGTCTAAATACAAAATACATGGCCATATTACCGTGTAAAATCACTTACACATGATAAAAATGTAATTGATTAGATATGAAGAAATGATAGTTACTTGAATTAGCTGAAAGTGATCAGAAACGTTAGGGTGAGTTCTTCTCTCTCTTATATTAATTTCTACAGTATATACAATTGTTTAGAACATTGCTGAATTTAAAGACTTATTCTCATAGTAGTAAATGCAATCTGTTGTGAAATAGTCATCAATATGACATAAAATATTTTGACTTCAGTCAGTAGAAGATAGACAATCTAAGGAAAAAAATGCATTCTTATCATACAATTTCGACAATTTAAGAAAGCCAGAAATATATTTGAGAATCAAGGAATGGGTGGGAATGGATGGGAATGGATGGGAATGGATGAGAATGGATGGGAATGGATGGGAATGGATGAGAATGGATGGGAATGGATGGAATGGATCCGAATGCCCGAATAGTTTTTTCCCCCTTGGATTCAACACAGCATGAGCTACAGTTCTATGGTGAGAGCCTTTTCCTCGTCTGTATCCCTACTCAAATTATCAGTGCAGTTATGCGGAATTCAATGGACATTTTGAATTAGCGCTTGAAATTCATTTGAGAATAGTCAGTATTTACCTATTTACTTGACTTATTGTTAAAAGTTCAGAGAGCGTCAGTGACAATATCAAAGTACATCGGAAGAGAAAAATAATGGTTATCGGTTGACACACATCTCATACTAAATGTCTCGCAAAATGCACTCTTATCTGAGATTTCGACCATTTAGCTTTCCCCATTGAAAACATTGGCTGTAGGGGAACGATGCATACCAACGCAGAGGGTTCGCAATTCGACCAAAGTCTTAATTTTAGTGAAGAAGTTTGAATGTGTCAAAAGTCAAATCATTTTACTCAGACTAGCATAGGATAACATAAAAATGAGTGATAATAGGTACGCACGATCGATGTTTCCTTCCTATTTTTGGAATATTATTCACATATTGAGTGTTTGTAAATCCAAGTCTTTCAAGCCTATCAGGTTGGCTAGATAGTAATGAAAATGGCGTTGTAATTGCACGATAGCATATTTACGAATACACCTGAATCAAAGATGGGATAAGCGATAAAAAACGAAAGCTTTCTCCGATTGTAGCCTCACTCTATGCATAGCATGTGCCCTAGAAATAGCCTGAATTCCAATACTCACAGAACGCACCAACGAATAAATCATGCAACAGATTAAAAACGAGTATTGAGAAAAGATCAATAACTGTCAATTATCTGAAATGGAAAAAGAAATCGAAGATAAAGTGTTTATTCAATTTTACTGCCAATCTTAATATTACGTTTTCGACGATTTCGTTCATATCAATCTAAATACTTACAAGACAGACGAAAATTGGAACTGAAAAAACCGAAGAGGAATGGAAGAAACTCAAGCATTGTCAACATTTCATCATCACACTATTGAACGACAGAAAAGAATTTTCAAACGTACAGGCCGTTGTTTCTCTGTCGTGTTCCTATATGTTGACTTCGATTCTCCATTATTCTCACGACCTTTACAACTGATATCTACACTCCTGCCGATGAGAGACAAGTTACAAGAATATAATATGTATATAAAGGCATATTGCAATTGAAGTGAATGGGTCTCTGTCGGTCGAGTAAACATCAGAAGGCATCAAAGTTGTCGCTATTCTAACATAAAAAGTCAAAATTTGACAAAAAATACCGATATTTTTCGTAAAATATACTTGTCGGTATAGGAATCCATATTAAATTTCGTGATCCATCTTCGAAATTATTCTGAAATAAAATTAGTGTTGGTAGATGCGTAAAATCATCTAGATATTCACGCAATACTGACGACGATAAGTAGGGGATATGGTTACAGATCAAAATGACGATAAAAACTTTCGAGGCGAATCGAAATTATTATCAGATTACTCAACCTTGAACTTGGTGTCACAAAGCATATCAGTCCTAAAAGTCCAAGAATGAAGCAAATCGATTCTTTATGTGCCGTTATCCTTCGAGCATACTTTGAGTATTTCTAATGAAAACCTTCGGCAATAGCAAACACTAACGATTTTACTGCATTTTAACGCGCAATTTAATTCCTGAGCTAGTAAGAAACTGTAGCAGTTGTTGTGAGAACGTAGGTAAGAAATGAACGGTTTTGTGTTCCATTAACTAATGTGTAATTTTAAGAACTTATCGAAAAAAATCTTTGGAGTGCTGTGAAGTAGAGTACTGCACGGGTGCACTTTTTCCACCGGGATCTGAACCGACACGATACTCTTTTCTCATACCCGGACCCGAACCGAACCCGACTAGCTCCATCCGGCACTCAACCAGCTGCTATTTACAAGATTAAGGTACCCGCCTAGTATTTTTACATAATACCAGTTTCAAAGTTCATTTTATATAAAAAATATACAATCTATTTCCATGAACAAACAACAACAAAAACTCATCAAAAATTACCTAAAAAACACGTGAATCAAGTGATCTAGAGTTTGATTGTTGTCTTCTTGCTTGTAAAAGCCTACTGGTTTTGCTGAATATAAGTTCAGTGGTTATTGATCTTGGTGTCATACATACTTTAAATCACATAGTTCTATTCTCTTTGAATATTTGCTCTCTCTCTCTTAGCTGTATTCACAGGGACAACAGATAAATATCAAAACCAAATTTAATTAAAAATTAATTTTTATGATCTTGAATTTGACGAAAAAAGGCGAAACGAGATCGTTTCTGATTGCTCTGATTTACCCTCAAGTAAAGTAGTGACAGTAATGCTCGAAAAAGTTTTTACGGCCACAGTTCTACACAAATACTAGTGTCAAACAGTGAAAATACTTCGAAAATTTCAGGTGTCATAAGTAGTCGCCGGTTTGGGTCTGGGTGTGAGATCATACCCGGAACCAAAGCGGAATTTTTTTCCTAATCGGTGCTCGAACCGACCCGGCGAATCTTACTGGGGCCCATGTCTTGGCCCGGTCCGGTTTCGGGTACCTGACCTGGTTGCAGTACTCTACTGTGAAGCATCGTTGAAGTATATTTGCCAAAAATGCTTAGGGTCGCGCTTTTTTAGGCTTTCGACTCGAAAGAGAGAGAAGAATCCGTTTTACCACCTACTGTTTAAATTTCGTCGGATAACAGTTGATAAAATAAGAAAAACGATATGAATCATAGTACTTTTATAGCGTTGTCTTTAAAAAAACACTCTATCTCTGTGTACAGATTAATCATTCTGTTTCAAAGGTATGAGACTGCTCACTGAGTCAGACTGGAAGCAAGTGGCTTCATTTATTTATTTCAAATGATGCAATAATACACGCAAAAGGACCCTGCTGGATAAAGGTCGAAATCTGCCACTACTTGGAATTAGCTAAAAGACATATATTCTGAAA